ATGAAGTGCTCTAAAACTTCCTGGTATGTGGCTGCGTTGACCCTGGACCTCAGAAAACACAATGGACCAACACCAGCAGATGACATGGCACCCCAAACCATCACTGACTGTGGAAACTTTACACTGGACTTCAAGCAACGTGGATGAAGTGCCTCTCTTCTTTTCCTCCAGACTCTGGGACCTTGATTTCCAAAGGAAATGCAAAATTTACTTTCATCAGAGAACATGACTTTGGACCACTCACCAGCAGTCCAGTCCTGTTTCTCTTTAGCCCAGGCAAGACGCTTCTGACGCTGTCTGTGGTTCAAGAGTGGCTTGACACAAGGAATGCGACAGCAGAAACCCATGTCTTTCATACGTCTGTGTGTGGTGGTTCTTGAAGCACTCACTCCAGCTGCAGTCCACTCTTTGTGAATCTCCCCCACATTTTTGAATGGGTTTTGTTTCACAATCCTCTCCAGGGTGCGGTTATCTCTCTTGCTTGTACACTTTTTTCGACCACATCTTTTCCTTCCCTTCACCTCTCTATTAATGTGCTTGGACACTGAGCTCTGTGAACAGCCAGCCTCTTTAGCGATGACCTTTTGTGTCTTGCCCTCCTTGTGCAAGGTGTCGATGGTCGTCTTTTGGACAACTGTCAAGTCAGCAGTCTTCCCCATGATTGTGTAGCCTATAGAACTAGACTGAAAGACCATTTAAAGGCTTTTGCAGGTGGTTTGAGTTAATTAGCTGATTAGAGTGTGGCACCAGGGGCCATCAATTTTGAACCTTTTCACAATATTCTAATTTTCTGATATGATGAATTTGAGATTTTCATTTGTTGTCATCTGTAATCATCAAAATTAAACAAAATAAACATCTGAAATATATGAGTTTGTATGTAATGTATGAATATAATATACAAGTTTCACTTTTTAAATGGAATTACTGAAATCAATCTACTTTTTCATGATATTCTAATTTTATGACCAGCACCTGTAAATATCATTACAAGAAATCATTATTACAGCAGTTGCTGTCGGTGAAAAAATTGATTTACATTTTACTTATTTAATTAAATGTATATATATATATATATATATATATATATATATATATATATATATATATATATATATATATATATGTTTACTGTCTGAGAAAAATGGTCAGATGCTCCCAACTTATATGTAGGTTTCGCCTTCAGCTGAAATACGTTTTGTGAGATGCCTTTTATAGACACGTTCTAGTCTCTTATATCGGCGAAAGGAAAGTTTGCCCGTTTTGAGATGTCTTATCCCTATACTTCCTTTTTCTCACAGTATATATCAGATGTTTCTGACTTTACTGGTTTGTTTGGGCAATAGTAGGGGTTCTGGCTGCAATTCTGCCTTAGCTTTATTTATTTTTTTTACCTTTAATCAAAAATTACTAAAGGTTTTAATATTTGTTCTATGCATTAATGGAATTAAAGGACAACAGGACACCATGCTGCTTCATCAAATCCTTGCGGAAGGAGAGGGAAACCACCAGGAGCTGCTGGCTCTGCAGGTGACATACACTCTATGTGAGAAAGTAGTGGAGGTCCATTTGCACATTAAGCAGGCTGAAAGTGGTGCTTTATGACCACCCGGAAAGTATCCAAGCACAATCCAAATCCTTACGTCCCTAGACTACAGGCAAGCCAAATTTTAAGCAAAAGACTGATAAGAAGAGGAGTGATCAGGCTGTTTAATAGTGCGTCAGCTTTCCCAAGAAAAGCTCATCTCTACCAACATAAGGAAAACAAAAGGAGGAGAGAATAAGCCACCAAGGCTAATAACGAGAAAAAGAAGAAACTTAAGAATAATGAACCTAAATAAAAAAAAGAAAATATTTTAGTCTGAGATCGACCCGGCCACCCCTCAGCTGTTAAATCAGTTAGTGAAGGAGCTACATTTTTTGTTTACATAAAATTTCACATATTACAATATCGGCAATGAGTTTCAGCTACTCTTTTGGGACAAGATCAATCCACTGTTTAAGCTTGTGATCAACGTTCAGTTTTTATTTTATACTTTCTTTAGCACTAAAAAGGAAGATATCGTTCAGCATATCAATAAAGGTGTACATAAGAATCTGGTGTACTCTCATTTATAGTACAATTTTGAGCAGTTTAAAGGGGAGGCTGCCTAGCTGAATAGGAAAAAAACATGGATAAATAGTTTAAAAGATGTTCACAGTAATTGTATTACTTTAATATGCTGTGGTGTTCAAAACTGTGTACTTAAACTTAAAAAAATATTTTAACAGGTAACATAGGTAATAAAATAGCAACAAAATTGATTGTGAAAAAAACTGCTCAAAAAGTAAAGCTTTTTTAAAGTCCTTCAGTCTTTTCGGAACTTGTTCTCAGTGTCTGTGTGTGTGTGGCAGACCAGTATTTAAGCAAACTCCACATTCACCCCACTGTAGCTGCTCAGGATCAATAGTCCCTGTAATCATGGCTTCCAAACTTCCACTGCCCCTTGGCCTTTTAACATCCTGCAGAGAAAAATAACATGGCAACAATATAGTTATCAGTCTTCGAAAATCTGTATTGTTTTCAACTCAATGGATATAAACACTTCATATAGCACATCCATTTGATCAGGGGTGCCCAACCTTTTTTAAACCAAGTTCTACTTTTGAAGTTGATGGCATGCCGAAATCTACCAAGCCAAAGACAAGGGATGGTCAGTATTTGTTTTTTATTTGCACAGGTGGAGAATAAACAGTAAGTCCAACAAACGAGGAAATTATCAATTGTGTCAAAAAATAGGTTGCAAAAACATAACTTAACAATCTCATAAGAACTTCACATCATATCACTCACTCACTCACTCACTCACTCACTCACTCACTCACTCACTCACTCACTCACTCACTCACTCACTCACTCACTCACTCACTCACTCACTCACTCACTCACTCACTCACTCATCAATCCAGACAAAGGCTGTGCAGTCAAAAAATCTAAATAAACCAATTGACACACACACAGTCCAGTAGAGATGAAAAAAAACAACAAAAAACGTTAGAACTGTAAATTTACAGTTTATATCACTGTAAATTATACATTATATAAATTTACAGTTTATATCACTGTTTATATATATATATATATACATATATATATATATTTTCTTTTTTTTTACTACTTTTCAAGGCTGCACTTTAAAAAAATGTATTGTCCAGAGAGCTGTTCCAAACTAAATTTATTTTTGTTTTACACTTGTGTAAACAAAATGACAAATAAAATCGGTCTAAGTCTAAGATTAGTTCAAAGCAGGAAGAAGGAGAAGGGAAGTCCACTATTTCAGAATGATAAACTTCACTGGCCATTGGCAGAGAAACTGGCAGATGGATTAAAATTCAACATGAAAACAGATAAAAATAGGAAAATACTTAGTACAAACTATTTGGATGTGAAGATGTAACATACAGCAGAATGGGTTGTCAACTGTTTCAATAACTCTTTAATTTCGGGCAAAAGTTCTAAAAATCTTTTGAGGAATCTGCCACGACTCAGCCACCTGACGTCGGTGTGCAGCAGCAGATCAGTGTGGTCTGCACCTGCCTCCTCGAGCTGGGCACAGAATAAACGCCTCTGAAAACTCCCCGCCCGAACAGAGCAAGCAATCTTCTTCATAACGTCCATTTCATGCTTCATATTTAAAATACTGCCGCACAGCTGTTGTTGCTGAATGATGCAGTGGTTGATCCAAAAATCCGGGAAACTTTCAGACAGCTTGAACAGAGCAATGAATCCAGCAGTGCGCCCAACCATAGATGGAGCCCCATCAGTTATGATAGATGTCATTATCTCATTATCTCTTCAGATTCCCCTTCTCACTTTAGAGTCCCTGGTAACAACCTAGCAACCGTGGCAAACCATGCCCAGCAATCAGCATGCATAAAAAAGGTTCCCTGCATACTTTTTATTTTTCATTTTTTATTATGAAAATACACATTGGCCCTTCGTAATCAATGATTTGATTACTGGTTTTTGCAACTTTATTTTTGTCATAGCCATAAATAGGTCTACATTGTAAAACTTCTCGCGATCGACTGAAACTCCGCCCACAATCGACTGGTAGACCGCGATCGACTGGTTGGGCACCCCTGCATTAGATCATAAGATTAGTCTACTTACCAAAACAGTTGATAGTCTATCTGCAATCTTCTGTTCTGTTCATTCCTGGCTGGATCCAAGATTTTTTTTTTCTTTAAAATCTCTGTGCAGGGATAAGTAAAATTGACAAACACTTGCAGCTCAGCCTTGACACTGTCCCCATCCAGATGATTCCTCTCATTCCCTAATGCAGTTGTCATCATTGAAAAGACATGTTTTGGGTGTACATTGCTCCGTGGGATGGAGAAAATACGGACGCTGATCTTCCTGAGATTCACAAGTGCTTTAGAAAACAGTTTCAACTATCGTTCCTCACTGTGGCAATCTTCCATTTCTGGTGAAATGAAGGAACCTTCAACCATGGAATATCCCTCATACTACAAGACTGTAGTCTTCAAATGGCAAAACAGCTGTGTGGGTGAGCTTGGAAACTTTGCTATTAAAGCTTGTGTCAGAGAAGTGAAATCTTTTAATTATGTATTTCCTTACTCGTTTACTAAAAAAGCAGGAAATCCCCGGGCGCCGCACAATGGCAGCCCACTGCTCCCCAAGGGAATGGGTTAGATGCAGAGAGTTTATTTCATAGCTCTATACTTGTAACAGTGTAAAGACGATAAAACATTGGAAAAAAAGGAATTCAATTGTTTTAAAGCGGCAATGAAGTGGAGGGACACCACAATATATGCCTGCTTAAAAGAACTGTAGTGGAACTGCTGTCAACAGAGTTTAGACTTAAAATATTCAAATTTAAGTGTGCAGGACCATCTTGTATCAGCATGGTTCTGCCCAGTAACAGCTGATGAAGCAGTCATGTGACTACTTCCTCTGGTTTGGAAATCAGCCCTCTGAGTCAGATTTTTCGCCGTGTAACCAGGTGAACATGGCTTCATTCTCGCTCAGCATCTCACTTCTCTTCATCAGTTTCTACAAAGCAGGTTGGAACAACACACTCACAAAAAAATCTTTCTTCTTAATCTCTTTCTACATAGCTAGAAGGATATTTACAATAAATGTAACTCATTAATTTCTGCTATGTTCATCAGATGGGTTTGAAAATTATTACGTGTCTCGCTGTGAGTTTAACTCCACCGAGCTGAGTGACATCACCTACATCTACTCTTCGTTCTACAAAAGAATGGAGATCTTCAGGTTTGACAGCAGTTTGGGAAAGTTTATTGGACATACTCAGTATGGCGTGAAGCTCGCTGACTGCTGGAACAATGATCCTGAGGAGCTGAACAAGTGGAAAGCTCTGAAAGAGACATACTGCCTCAAAAACGTGAAAATAGAATACAGCAGTTTTGTCACCAAATCAGGTCAGAGTTTATCCCAAATGTTTATTTCTTAAAAAGACATTGAAAACACCAGTAATTGATGTCTGGAATTAGTTTTAATCAGTCATGATTTTAAAATATTGTCCTGAAAGGCAAATGGTCTGCAATGTTTTAGTGTTTCAAGAGATTTTTAACAGTAAAGTAAGTTAACTGAATCTTTGCCCTGTGATAAAGGCCATCCAGAATATAAGGGTGATTAACAGAAGCATTCTTAAGGAAAAACATACTAGGCAGATTGTTTTAAATAACAGCTTCAGATTTATTTTTCTTCGTTGCACTAGAGGCCGTAATTGTTTTAAGTGACCTTGGTTGAAGAGAGGGAGGACCAGACTTGTGAAAAACACACACATTCTTTGCTTAAATAAAAGAACAGATACCAGTGTAAGAACGGACAGGTAAAATTGAGAGTACAGAGTAAACTCCTTTACTAAAGTACAAGTAATAAAAAGAACTTGATCTACAATGCCCTGAAGCAGAAAAGTACAATTAAGTTTTTACCCTAAGCAATACAAAATAACTTTTGAGAACTTTTATTGGTAGAAAAACATATAATCATAAACATAACTGTCTTGGTTTAGTTTCATTCTAATTTAAGAATCCAAACAGGGTCATGTGTTGAACTGCACAGACATCCTGCATAAGCAGTTAAATACTTTTAAAGCTCTGATATTCACAGCATTATTGATGCAAATAGCAATAATACTGAAAAAGAACTTAAGACATAATCAATATGTAAATGTGCAATACAATAAAGGGAGAATAATTAGGGAATGTTGGGTTTCCCAAATTCTTATCAGTATTTATGCTAAATTATATGACCCCTCTTGGGAAGACATGCATTAAATATCTCTAACCTGGGACAGCTAGATTAAGGACTCAGGCTGCCATAGAAAAAAACTCTTCAACTATCTTTTACTATTAGATCCATGCCACCACCGCACCTTAGCTTCCTTTAGACATTTAATGAAATAATGAGGGTAATTCCTAAATGATAAGTTATCGTGAATTAAAACCCTAAAAAAAGGCCATTTAATTTATTGACTGTCCCTTGTTAACAGTGAAAGGAAGTCCACTTGCTTTCATTTAATCACTTGGCCTAGGACTTTTTAAAATATATAATGTTTTCATCGTTCTGACGATTGATTTCTTGCCCCTGTTGGGGACAGTTAAACAAATCTAAATTCAACTTCCTGTTATATATGAACTGATATCTTTAAATGGTTCATCTAATTAGAATGATTGCTCATAATATGAGACCAGCATTCAATAAAAACAATTTTGTGTTTCAGTCCAGCCCACAGTAAGAGTTCAGTCTGTGGTGCACCCTGCTGGTCATCATCCTGCCATGCTGCTGTGCAGCGTGTACGACTACTATCCTAAAAAGATCAAAGTAAGCTGGCTCCGAGATGGACAGGAAGTCATCTCTGATATCACTTCCACAAATGAAATTGCAAATGGCGACTGGTACCATCAGATCCACTCTTATTTAGAGTACGAGCCCAGGTAAAGCCTGATACAGCTCCAGATTCTATACAGTCAACATTGTAATCAAAACTGAAGTATTCTACTGTATTTCTATTATTATATTATTATTATTGTTCCAGTTCAAACAGATTTAATTCTTTTGGTCTGTGTTGCTGCAGGTCTGGAGAGAAGATATCCTGTATGGTAGAACATATCAGCCTGAAGGAACCTCTGATTACAAACTGGGGTATAATTCCTCCTAGAATTGTACTCATCTGTCCTTTACAGTTTTAGTTCACATCTATCAAAATGTTCACTCATCTAACACAGAAACATCTAACACAGACTTATCTTATTCTGCACATGCGGGTATCACTTGCCTTGCCCTCAGACCCATCCACGCCTGAGTCAGAGAGAAACAAGATTGCTATTGGAGCTTCAGGAATGATCTTTGGTCTGATTTCATCTTTGGCTGGATATCTCTACTATAAGCCTAAGGCCCAAGGTGAGAATGAGCCATCCAGTTACATGACAAAGGGAGTTTATAGAACATTTTTGGGTAGTTTTATTTTGATCAGAATCTTTTAAAGCTACGGTGTTGCCAGTTTTTTGATCAGGTGACATAATCTTTTAATAAGTGTAACCTGAAACCAGTAAGAGCCCTTATAGTTTTATATTGTTTAAATATTGGAGTTTAGACTGTATTTAAAGCAAAAATTGATGTTGGTTACAGCTCAATATAATCCACAGCACATCCCAGGTGTTTGAGTTCAGAACCAATTCATTTTTTTGTCTACCTTTGCTGTCATTTATTCATCATTTTTGTTTCTTTTTTGAAGGTCTTGTCCCAGTCCCAACCAATTAGACGGAGATCCATGAAAATATTATACTTTTTTCATCTTGTGTCGATGGAACTGAAGCTATTTTAAGGACTGCATTGGGATACTATGACTAGATTTTAATGGTTAACATCGCCGTCCTGTTCAGCCTGCTTTCTCCCCTCCGATCAACCAGAAAGTTAAACTGAGTTCTGTCAGATTGAGTGGAGGTTTGAAGGACCCAAATGCAGACATTGAAGCTGAGGTGATTTTTTGCAAGTTTAATAACAAAAGGTGGTAACTGAAACAAAATACCAAAGTACAGAAAACGTCTGGAAAAACTCACTTGACGGGCAAAGAAATTACTCCGATGAACAAGCAAACAGTGAACAGGAGGTGTATGGGAGATAGAAACAATGACCAGGTCAATGATCAGATTGGGAGCAGGTGATGACGGAGGAATCTAGAAGAGAGCAAGAGGAAAGGGGACTGACACAAGAGTGCAACAGAGGGCAAACACGAAATACATACATGTAAGCACTCAAATACAATCAAAAATTTGAAAAATTGATTGATTGACTTTATTGATCTCACAGTGGAAAAATGTACTCGTTACATCAATTCAAATAATCAAAGGAGAAGAATGTACCAAATGAAGAAAAAGGTGCATGGGATATATACTGTATATACAGTGCATCCACATATGACAGGTTTTTTTTGTTTGTTTAAGCAGGAATATTATACAGGATTATTATACATGGTGTAACTGTGCAATTTATTATTACCAAAATGTTGGTGTCATGACAGATTCAGACCTTCAGGGGCACGTAAAGGCAGTTACCAAGTCAGCCCTTTAACATGTCATGAATGTTTCTAAGATTAAAGGATCAAAATTCAAGAACGACCTCAAAAAACTCATACATGCATTCATCTTCAGGATCAGTTACTACAAGAGTTCCTTCATAGATTTGTCTAAAAAGTCCATCAGACAGCTGCAGCTGATCTAAAACGCTGCTGTCCGTTTTCTTACTAGGACTAAAAAAGTAGAGCACATCAGCCCGTTTCGACGTCCTTCCATTAGCTCCCTGTAACTCAGAGAATAGACTATAAAATCCTCCTGTTATTCTATAAATCACTGAATGGATCAGCACCTCGATACATAACAGATTTGTTTTCAGTGTATCAACCTCCCAGACTGCTCAGGTCTTCTAGTTCCAGTCTACCCACTTCACCCAGAACTAGAACCAAACATGGAGAAGCAGCATTTAGTTTCTATGCTCCACTTATCTAGAACAAACTCCTAGAAGCCTGGAGAAGAGCTGAAAGCCTGAGTTCTTTTGAGTCAAAGTTAAGAACCTAATTTGTTTATAGCTGCCTTAAAATGTGGAAGTTAAACGTTTAGGTATTATTAGTTTAGATTGTGATCCAACTGCTGGTCCACCTGCTTTTATCATTTTTGTATCTCTACTTGGTATTGCTGCTTTTATTTTCCCTTCATTTTATTGTTAGCTCCATGTAAAGTACGTTGAATAATCTTTGTACTGAATAGTGCTATGCAAATAAACTCGCCGTTCCTTGCCTATAGAGAAAGTATTAGAAAGCTTGGCCTCAGTCTTTGGTCTCAGTCACTCATTGGTTTTACAACTGGGCAACCTCACCCTAAAGCACAGCTAAAAACCCAAGAATGGCTAGGAATAAAACTTTGGATTAGTCTTAAGTGGTCACCTGAGTAAGCCCTAACCTAATTCTATCCTACAGCCCTTCTTTGGAAGGAGCTGGAACACGGCATCCGGAAAAGGAGTGGGCCAAAAAGCCTTCTGAGAGGAGCAGAAATCTCATTGACAGTTACACAAATTGTTTGATTGCAGTAATTGCCTCAAAAGAGAGTGCAACAAAATATCAAGTGAATCCTTTTTTTCTTTTTTAATCACTCTGCTGAAGAATGGTTAACAAGCAATGTCTGACTTTCATTTGCTTGTATTCATAGCATTTTAATTTATGATTACTTTAGTCAGTTTCAGTTTTTTTTAATATTGTGGTCTGTTCTTTCTTCAAACAAGGGGTACCAGTTTTCCATGTGTGTAGTTTTTGCAGATTTGTGGAATTCACTGCGTTCTACTGCACCATGACTAATAACATTGATTTTCCATGACATCACCATCTTAGTTATTTATTCTCTTGCATACAAAAGATTCCCCAAAATGTCAGTTAAATTCAATAAATTAGTAACATAATAACATAAACCCAAAAAAGTTTTTTCAGTTGATAAACTTAAAAGACACATTTTTCTAAAAAATAAAAGTTTGGATTATATTCTACTTGTCTCTTCTGATAACAGTTAAATTGAAGCCCTTGTTATGTCAAATAAAATAAGTATAGGTAATACTATTCACAGTTTTCTATTAAAGCAAATCACCACTTAATATGATTCAAAATTTTACGTTTCTGAACCACAGGAATAAGTTCACAGAACTAGAAGTATGCAAAAAACCATATAATTTTTACGTGAACTTAAATTTTTTATTAGTTTCCGTTGTGTCATTGTTTTAAGTACAGATAAGACAAATATGTGTAGTTAGTGTAATTTAAACCTTGCCAATAAAAACTTAAAATGTTTGAGGCAATTGATTACCTCAATAAATTTTAGTATAGCTAACTTACAGCTAAAAGTCAGACACCTGCTATTGAACAGTATTTTATTGCCTGTCCCCTTTTAGCAGAAAGCAATGTTGATATTATATACAAAAATTAATACATTTTAAATTGAAATATATAGAACAAAATACATATTAGGGAAATAACCAAAGTAATAACTAAGTATTTCATCCATACTAATAAAGACAGTACAGTTTAAACTTTTTTGGAATTACTATGTCCTGGATGACTGAGAATCTTCACCATCATTGAATATAGTAAAACCAAAATGAAATTATCTTTATTTATAGCTATAGAAAGAAACGAAAGACTGCCTTAAAGTGTTCTTTTTGTTTTCTGGCTCCTACCTAAATCCTAGCTAGTAAGGCAACAGGGCAGCAGTAAGGGTATGTTACTGATTATTTAAGAAAATCTCTACTTACAAATCTTAACCATTAACGAGTATGAAATGCACTAAATATAGGGAATCTTTCACAGCCTACTGGCATGATCTGCCCTAAAAGCTGACCTTAATTATTCACTTCATTCACCAGTCTAACTCTGCCCAGTTCCTAATCAGCGCTCATCTTATTCACCTGCATGTCGCTTTATATTCGCTCAACCTATTGTGGCCAGATAGCTTTTTTTCTTCTTGTTTCTTGTTTGATGTCTGTATGTTCTGTTTCGTTAGTTTAAGTTAGTTCAAGGTGTGTGTCCCCTTTGCAGTGAGGTGATTATTCATGAACCAGTGTCTTCAGGCAAGTTTGTTCACTAGTCAGTTGTGAGAGAATTTCAGCATTTCCTTAGTGGTTGCTGATTTCCTGATTCTGTTCCCTCTCAACCACTGAGCTTGTTTGTCCACATCTGATCTGTTCGCCTGAACCATCTTTGGACTCCTGCTGGGTTCTGCCTGTCTGCATCTGTGCATTTCTGTCTGAGCTGGTTGCTCAACGCATGGAACTCTGAACTTGCCTTCATTCTCTATGGATCCCTGGAACCCTGGATGTGTCTGTTCCTGTGTGGATCGGAACCCCTGATCGGGCTGAGAACTCCTGGATTCCAGAACTGTTCCTGTCTGATCTGTATTCCTGACCTGGATCGGATGCCTGCTTACTGAGGTTGCTGCTTTCGGAGGGCACTCACGGAGGCTCTGCGCCGCAGTTTGGCAGTCCATCGGCAGGATCTTGCCTTCCTCCTTCTGATGACATCAGGTGTTGTGTCCAGTCCAGACAGAGTGAGGTCTGTTTGTGAGGAGTTCTAGCAGCTAAATGCAGAAGGGTGTATTGAAGCCTAGCTGTTCCAGTTTGCCTATCCGATGCTGTGAGATGATGGTGTTGAAAGCTGAACTGAAGTCCAGGAACAGGATCCGCATGTAACATACATAAAATGGCGATGTCTCTTTAAGAGTCAGAGGACCACTGCCGCGCGGGTCCCGTCTTGCTTCCCCGCGTCTGCAGTACCAGTTCTGGCATGAGGAGGAGACTGCTGAGCTGTGCAGTGTGATAGTCTGACAGTTATAGTTCGGATACAAACTTAAAACAAACAGTTTGCAGTTAAAATTACCGTTTATCATCAACAGTTCAAGCTGGAAATAGTTGAGGTGAGTTAAAAACTAAAGTTTTCTGCCGAGCATTAAAGCTACCTTGCTAGCCTTGTTAGCTCTTAGCTATTAGTTTCTGGAGGTTCATTTTGTTCTCCATTCAGTTCAAGTGCCCCACCTGTCCGGACTGAGAGCCATCATATTGTTGTCCCAAACAGGTTGCAGTGAGATCGGTAAGCATATTTTGTGCATTTCCTTTAGGTTTTTGTTCTGTTTATCACATTGCTGTTAAATAATAGCATTTAGTTGGATGTAGTTAATAATTAAAATGTAAACTTTTACTTATTGTGTTATTGTGTTGAAAAATATTTTACAATTAGAAGAATAAGTGAATTGATAATGTGGTGAAATACTGCATTGAGGTAAAAGGGAAGTGGTTATTTCAAATTTGAGTAACTAAACACATTGATGTTGGATATGATGTCTAGAGAAGCATGATTCAGGGATTAAAGCTAGAACAGCTTAATAAAAATTCTGTTATTCTGCTGGTCCTGTCTGTTGACAGGTCAGGTTTTTTTCTTTATGCTGGATCATTCCTGAGGTGGATTCCTCCGGTGATTGATGGCGAGCCTTCCCACCTGGACTTAGAGAAAGAACTGGACTCATTCTTTTCCATTTGGAGTCCTGCTGCACCCTGCGGTGTGGTAGGCCTGTTTCACTCACATCTTCACGCACAGTTGGTTATGCATGGGACCATTGACTGACATTTTTTCACTTTTATTGTTTCATTCTGGGATTTAAGACCTTATTTTTTTTACAAGATTTATTTCGGACATTAGAAAAGACCACTGTGGTGGACATTCTCCTCAGGTGAATGATGATGAGTCAGACCTGAATTGGAACTGAATTTAATCTGAATTGTTTATTACAAATTTGAATTCATATTAAAAGGGTGCACCCAAGATATTTAGAACTGAGAATTAGAACTTGGCCAAGTATTGCTATTATTTTATTTCATTGTTGATTTTATTGTGTGTATTTTATTTTCATGATTTTGTGTTTCATACAACTGTTTTGTACAATGTTACATTTCATATCACTAAAGCCAGTTGTTCTTTAAATCCATCCAACCGCTTTTGTGTGTCATTTAAACACCCCACTATGCTCCCATAGCCGAACCTATTGGCCCATTTATCTAAAATACTTAATACCCTTCTTTACTGTGTTACATAAGAAGTTTTGGCGAGCCAGCCAGGAGCATGAGTGTGTGTGTTTAAGTGTCAGACATTTTACACCCATTGTTATTGCGTGTCAAGGAAAAAAAAGAATAATAAGAAAAAAATGGATGTGGTACTCCGGGAGTCCATACAAATTCCCCATTCTGTGCTTGTTAGTGGTTTAACAGGGTCAGAAACAGATGAGGAAGTGTCAACCTTTCTCCAGAAGTATGGTTCCATTAACCGTTACATTCGCTTAGATGATCCTAAATCAGAATACCATAAAGACATGATTATTGAGTTTACACATGAAACTGCCATGCAGACATTGGACCCATTGTTGCCTCTTCAGCTTCCAAGCACG